TTTCTGATAAACTTCTGTCAGGCTCTGAGCTGTCTTGGCATAATGCTGCCCCCCACTGGTCTTATGGTATAGATTTAAAGATATTGGCAAGTAGTGTGAAAGAACCTCAGCTCCACTTTATCTAATCATTTAGAATTAGAAAAAAATTTTTATTTGCAATAAAATGAAGGCTATTAAAAATCACAAAATTATGTAGACAAGTGATCTGAAGAATTTAGTAAAAACAATAGGAGGCTTTGATATTAGCTTGACACCAGAGCTGATTGTAATGTCCTCATTGAAAACATTTCAGTAATTGGACATGGAAGGGTGGGGTCACCAACTCCTTTAAATAAATAAAATAAAGGACAGTTCTGGCCAAGCTTTGTCTTTACTACTGTCTGTGGAATAATATTGCGAACATTTGACCTTAACCTAATAAAACATTTATACGTTTTTTTTTTCTAAATATGGTACAGTTCTGTTTTTTAGGGAACCGAAAACCCCAACAGAAAGATTTATGCATCTCACTACAAGTTGGCTGCATGCTCAAGTCACAAGATGGTGCTGTTTTGCAGAACATCCCTGGCATGTACAGTATGTGCAAGGTTTGACTTTGAAATGATACAGTGTATAAGTATACATGTCTCTATTCAATACTTGGAAGAGAAACATAAACACAGTTAAAGATGATGAAATGCTCTCAATCTGCAGGTTTACTACTGATTTCTAGAATTTCTAAAAGTAGAATGGGAGGCTGAACTTTTAGTTATCAGACTCCTCTCTTGTGGAATCAACAACCAGTCTTAGACCATGAGGCAGACACCCTGTCTACTTTTAAGACAAGGCTTAAAACTTTCCTTCTTGATAAAGCTTATAGTTAGAGTGGCTCAGGTTATCCTGAGATATCTCTATAGTTATGCTGCTATAGGCATAGACTTCTGGAGGACAAAGGGACCCCCATTTCATCATTCTGCTTTAATCCATCTCTATTCTCCCACTCTGCAGAATGTGTTAGTTCAATCTTTAACGTTATTCTCTCTCTGCCTTTTCTCATAGTAGCTTTGCCTCATCTCTTCCTGTTTGCCTATGACGTCATCCTGGAGAGAAATATCAGCTGTGCTGCTGCCATCAACACCTGTTTATAGATACTGGAGATCGGCCTGTTTTTCCAGTGTATTCTTGTTTC